ACCCCCAACAGGTGCATACTTGACCCCTGTCTGGCACAGACTATTTGTTAACACCGCTAGGTAGCCCTAGTCTGGCCACTTAGGGTTGAGGCATCAGGGTCATCCTGCAAAGAGGTAATAAAATCATGGAGCTTAAAGACCTATTCAGGGTCTCCCCAAAGATGATCAGATCCCTTGACTATGCAGTGCTTTCAAAGCCCCCCAAGGATAGGGGAAGTCAGGGACAGCCGTGGTAAACACAGCCTTCGTGCTCCCCCAGGATTGATGCCAGGATAGCCACACATCTTATCATCACTTTCATCCCCTTTTTTATTATATTGGTTAAAAAACAACCAATTTTACAGTTATTGAAACTGGAGACCACAGGAACTATTCACAACAAAGGTTAGGGTTAGGTCCTACGAGCTCGGGGATGGTACCAATCGATGCGCAATACCCGAATTAGTGGGGGTAGAGCCAACTTGCAAGTCGCTCCGACCTTCACAAAAAAAGTTATTCAAGAATATCTCCTCAGATTTCTGGGAATTTCGTTGTTCGACCCCTTCCGAAGGTCGGAGAAGCTCGGGGATGGGACCAATCGATCCGCAGTACCCAAATTAGTCCAGACCGAACCACTTTACAAGTCGCTCCGACCTTCACAAAAAAAGTTATTCAAGAATATCTCCTTCTCCTATGTGCTTTCATCCCTTATCCTAACCAAGCGGCAACATCCCGGGCTGAGCGCTGAGGCCAATACGGAAGTGCAAATAACTGCAGTTCACTGGGTGGCCACTTGAGGCTGGCTCCAAGAGGGAGTCAATTCCCATTGACTCCCATGTTAAAAAGCCCGACTTTAGAGCAGAATTAAACGTGTTTACAGCCTGGTTCAAAAAACGGTTTTAGTCTCAATCAGTAAGTTCTTCCTCCATGACAACTCTGGGGGGGGGTGAATTTTTTTCTAACTCGCTCGTTTCGATAATACAGAGGTTTGAAATTATGAATAATTATCACTTGATTGACACGTGACGTCACCATTAGCTCGTCACTCTGGCTGTTAGCCTGTTAGCTCGGCTTCACCTGAGCTCACAGGCTAATCACCGTCACCGAGCACGAGTCTGTGGAGGAGTTTTCACTCACATGTGAATATCATCGTCTGTTGTTCGGCTGATGTCCTGACGGAGAAGTGGAAGACGTCTGTGCTGCAGTGTCTGTGGTGAGTAAAGTACTGTCTTTGATTTACGTGTCAGTAGTGATGAGCAGTTATCATTGTTACCTGGCTGGTTAGCTTAGCTCCGCTAACCTCCAGGCAAGATAGCAGCAGTAACGGCGATGCTAACGGGAGGGAYGGGAGTTATTAACCCGACATGAAGCGTCCACACAGCGGAGAGAGGAGCGTTAGGGTTAGGATTTTTGGGAGGCGCACGTCAGGCTACGGCGTAGGGGTCTGCGCCTAGTTTATGCTTCTGCGTCACGTCGACGCCGTACCTACGCCGTAGGGGTCTGCGTCTACGCCGTACCTACGCCGTAGGGGTCTGCGTCTACGCCGTAGCTACGGCGTAGACGTGACGCAGAAGCATAAACTAGGCTTAGAGTTCATGGTGATAAATCTTTTAAACTGAAGGCGACTGTGTGTTTAGTGAATATCATCAAGTTAGATATTTAAAGTTATGTAAAGTTGTTCAGCTCCCCAACCTATTTGGCTTGACTACGTCACTGTGAGTAACTTCAGTAATAATGTTTTATTAGATTATTGGTTCAGACATAACGTTAGTGCAGCTGCTGCAGTGTGAAACTTGTTGAGCTGAACTTTATTTATGAATGAACAGTTTACCTACCAGGTATAGACCCAGAACTTACTAACAATTAAAGCACATTATTGCACATGATGCATTACATTATATATGCAATACTTTTAATGTGAAATAACTCCATACTGCACATTCATTGTAGTACACTGTTTAATCCCAAACCATATTCAGATACATACTTAAATATCCACAGAATATAAGGACACAGACTTTGTTTGAAAGTAACACGTATCTCTGCAATAATGCCATACTTTTATGTTTCCTGTCATTTTATTAGGGACGGAGGAACCTGAGGGACACAGCTGTGCTGACCGTGTTCTGTCTCTTATGACAAAAAAGAAAAGACAACACTTTTTATCTAAGGTTTATTAAATCAGAAAGTAAAAGATGAACATTGTTGTGATAGTGTTAATTTTACCAACCATAATGGATATAGAAATTGACTCAATATTATTATCATGTTGACCAGCCTGAAGCTGCCAATCTCCACCTTGTTGCTGCTGCCACAGTGGATTCTGAGGACATCAGGTGTTGCAGTGCTTCATGTAATGAAAAAAGTCATTTTAAAGGATGTTTTATGCTGAAATCATTGTCACATCTGTAGATATTAAGGAACAGAGGAGAAACATGATTATTTACAGATACTGTACAATACAATAATTACAATAATTTTGACACATGTAATATCAGCTGTGTTAAGCAGCCAAGACGGGTACTTACAGTTTATTCTGTGTTCAGCAGGTGGAAGCACCACAGTTTTCAGCCAAACTGATGTACTAAAAGAAATAAACATTGTATAAATATATAAAATGTCTTTCTACCACATCTGTAATATTCAAGGGTGATAATCTCTCACAGTGCTGTTGATAACAGTCCACTTCAAGTCCCTCAACTTCTCGCAGTGTTAAAACAGATATATA